TGACTTACAAATAAATGGACGACGGGTCTAATACAAAAACCACGAAAAAAATGTCCCAAGTCAACCTATTCGAAATTTAAATTGTAATGTCATCGCAGTATCGCGCTGTCAGTCGAACAAATGAAGACTAAAGCGGAGTTTGGCGCTCTGTATACGATTTTAGCGCCTTACAAGTGCGGACACTTTTTAGCGCGGACCCGACGTCCATATAATTGTAAGTCAATGATCAATACGTAAGATTTAGGAATAAAAATAAGTGTGTACATCCTATTAATATTTACTGCTAGATGGTAAGTAATGGTAGATGAAAAGAAACAAAATTATAAGATCATCATACAACAACTATTTCAGATTCTGAACTTGAATTACCACCAGAACTCGAATGTTTGCAATCTCTCCCTTCAAATCAAAAGTCTCTAAGGATGACACAGTTTTACGAACAAATAATTACTGGTCACTTTTATGTCGTTTTTAGGTGATTTGAAACTTCAGTAGACTAATTATTCATTATAAACAATACTTCAAGATTTAGTGTTATTCATAATCTAATTGAATTTCGGGGGAAAATGTTGAAATTGTGGTAACTGTGAAAGATCCTGAGATGAAAACCCTAAAAATTTTTTTAGTTTTTGTTTGTTGACATTTATTTTACATCGTATTTGGCTAGAGTATAGGTGATGGGACGAACAAACCGCACGCCTGAGATGGTAAGCGATACATCTGTCCATAATAGCTGTAGCGCCACTCAGAGTCTTAAATCACAAAGGTCTGAGGGGCGCTGCCACTGCGCCAGACACCCTGAGATATAAGTAGGCAAGTCCAATGTGCCTGTAATTGCTGGTGAAATTACAGACACAAAAACACTACAAACATTTATTGACACAAAAATATTTTTCACCAAAGTCATTTATTATCGCAGCGTGCTATTAATGATACAATATTAAAACATTTTAAAGGTAACAAGAGACAATGAAAGCTGTAGGAAACGAAAAAGGACGTACTAACTTTACTAACAACATGATCGACACAAAAGTGGACAACAAGCGTGTAATAAGAAATAAAAAATATGGTAAGTAATTAAAATACTTTGATGAAATAAAAAAAGAAGTGACGGTCACTTCGTATAATGACATAACAAAAGCTTTTCAGAGGACGGGAAGGTGTTTACTGCACGAACAAAAGTCTAGCTCAATAATCTCAGTAAACAGTACTAAAAAAACCGACCTCAAAATTACGTAGAAGTTTTATTGAAATCGGCTACCGGAAAGTGGAGTTATCGCGTAACTGCAGACTTAGTGTAAGCGACCAAAAACAAATTTTACAGATGGCTTTTTAATTTTTCCACATAATACATATAAATGTGGTACTAAATAGAATTTTAAGGCGAGTCATCGGAGAAGAAGCGGGAAAAACTGTTTTGATAATGGTTTATGTGTTTACTATAAAATAACGGTCTTACAATACCATACACATATGCATATTGTCTAAAGAATGTACTAATTCGTTACACGATAGAATGTACTTTACTCGATCAAATATTATAAAATCTTGAATAGTCTAAAACGAATTATATAAGAACAAAATATCTAGTAAATAATAATTTTTATACGGCGATATTTCTCTTTAAGAACCTGCAAGAACAAGAGAACTTGCTAAATTTTTGTTTTCAACTTTTTTTTCATTGACCAAAGTACAGGAAAAATACTTATTTAATTACAAGCTCGCTCACAAAAGCCCTTCCGGCTTTATCCGCATCGGCAAAGGAGATCAGTCTGTTTAAGTAAAGATATAAAATATAATAGAGCAAAAATCTTAAAAAACTGAATTACTTGTAGACAGGTACAAAAACATGCTCATTTTCATGTTCATGTAAATGGTATATAATAATAATTAAGCTATTTACAAAATAAAGTTTATATCTTTAGTTTTCAAAAAATGTTTCATAATGTATGATTTACAGTGTTTGTTGTTTTAGTAATTACATATACTCCTTTTTTCCTCACTCATTTTGTTAATTAATGCAGGTAACAAATATTTCCAATTTCTTTTTCCATAATACTTATTGGCTAAACTGAAGCCCTATAGTTCACATTTATCTCAAAATTTGTAATTTGCCCAGCAGTTTAACGACATACCGCGTCGCCCGTTGCCTCGTCAGACACCACTGGGCGCTTGTCGACACGGACCTGTATCAAATTTTCTCCGCCTTTTCTTATTTTATTCATATTGTCAGCGCGCGGCTTGCGGGTTGCGAAGGGTGGTCCCCCACACCTCAACTTCTAAAATGTAAACTCGCATTGAAATACCGCGCCTTAATATATAATAAACAATTTCATAACCGATTGTGTAACAGCAAATTTTGTTTTTAAACAATGGGTAAGCTCTTTTTTCGCGCTTACAATATTTTTACTTAGAGGAAGTAAAAATATTTTTGAGGCTTTCAAGCGTTTACAATTGCGATAAAAAATATGTAACATGACGAAATTGTGACGTACTATGTCAGTTGCGATAATAAGTGGAGTCGCTTACACTATGTTTTTTTTTAATATTATACGGTTACGCTTTAATAAAAAAAAAAAACTTTTTAGCCTTTGCTATAATGTCTGTTTGATATAATTTTGGCGGGAAATGTTGACGCGTCCTTGTCCGTTATAGTTTAAAATATCATTTGCAACAAAAAAACTTTGTTCAGTTTGATTTGACTATAATGCCCCAAATAAAACCCACGGACCAGTTCTTTCCATTACAGCCATGGTAATGAGTTTTTTTTTAAATTTGTAGCACGACATACTTCCTTACATAGGTCAGGTTCGAGTTCAAGCAAGGAGGATACTTAAGTTCAAAATTAAAACATTCGCTTAAAACGTCATCTAAACAGAAATTTGATTGCATTTCAACGACATATCACTTAAATACTTATTATTAATAATTTCTTACAATTGAATTTCATTATTTTCTGTATAAAAAAGTTACCATTTTTTTGCAATGAATCGTGGCACGCATACAGCGTGTTAGATTTTTACAAAATTTTAGTTCGAGTTGTATTAGCTATGGAGGAATTTAAAAAAAAGCAAAAGACCCGCTATTTGCCAAGTCCATAATTGTTGTGAAAGGTTGTAAACCGTATTTATTTTTCATTTAAACATTGATGTATCACGAACTATGAAAAAATACAAAATTGGAGTTATTAAAGCACTCAGCCTTTGACTTCGGGCTTCTAATAGACCCTCGTTGATAATTTCTTATTTACAGTCTTAATATCGATTATATTATAGATAGAATAGATACACAATGTACTAATATCGATTACGATAAGTCAGCAGTTATGGCTCGATATGATACAGGTCAACATGATTGGACGCCGCCCTCAGACTCAAAATGTATAATGGCAAACAAAAACAATTTAAACGTATGAAATTGTGTTCATATTGTGGCAGTCAGTACCATTGTCTCCATCGTGAGATAAGAGAGACAACTGGAGATCAGCAGCCGCGATGGTACCGCAGAAGGTGCCATCCACAGCACAAACCTCAAATCGAATAACTTGATGTGTGTTCGGGAACATCTCTACTAGTGATATTTGCTCACAGTATATTGGATTGTAGTTACGATCCTGAACTCCTGTTTTGGCCTGTAAACATTTTCAACTCTACTCAATATGTAATAAAATTTGATTTCTATAGACGACATCAACGTCAATTTCTATGAAAATCTAAACAACCGAATCACTTGTTCTATTTTGCATAAAAATTACATTTTCACCTCACTAGCTCGGAAAGGCTTTCTTTTTCATTATTAAAGCGTTTATTGCACGCTAGCGTGGAAAAGGTTTTGAAATTCGAACTTGACAACGGACTGTGATGCACCTAACTTTTTCTTTCGATGAAAAAAAGATCAACCATCGAGTATATAACCAGAAATAGAGACGACATGTCATTTAATTTGTTTGAAAACTATTCTGCCATATCATTACTGTGACAACTGCGCTCCGATTGGCTAGCCCGAGTTCGAAACAATTGACGGGTGTCGTCAATGGGTATCGTCAACTGTTTCACTTCAAATCGACCAGTTAACTTGACCTTTGCTACAATGGACGAAAATTGCAAATTATGTATTTAATATTTAGTTACCGATGAAATGTGATTCCGATTGTTTTGTAATAAGATGTATTGCTGTTTTTCCCACACCACCGAATACAACAGCACGACATGGTTAGAGATATTATCTTTATTACAATAAATACTTACAGAATATTTTTTGGAATATACGGAGACGTACACACAGGTCAGTAGTTGGCCTGTCTATATTTCAGTGCATACGGGAGTTGATATTTATAAATGCTGTATGGCTAACGTGTTACCAGTAGTATATGGCCCTTATTTCGTCTCTATTTCTGGTTATATACTTGATGCGTTGAACTATACGATTTGTCGTACATTACCTATTTATGTAATATAAGTCCGTTGGTATATTGCATTCCGTACGACAAGTTGCATAGTTGAACGAGTCATTACCTTAATTTGTCATCGAAAGAAAAAGTTAGGTGCCACCACAGTCCATCGTCAAGTTCAAATATCAAAAACCTTTTGCACGTGGATTTCTAATGAGAAAAAAACCTTTCCGAGCTAGTGAGGTCAAAAATTATTTTTCCTCCGCATTCCAAAGCCGTAATCTTGTGCAGTCATTCTGCTAATATACTATATACGTACCACCAGACCACAGAAGGATATCCTTATGTAAGTATTAGGTGGTTTGGAAGGCTTGCGATCGTGTACTCCCATGCCACTACACAGTCTGTAGGCCGCGTATATGGTCACCACGTAGTTGGCTCGTTGTTGTTCTGAACCCGTTGGTAGGAGAATGTTTCTAGAACCACAATGTTTTATTTAACTGGGACAGTCAGGGAAAATCCAAAACCATAAAACATAGTGGAAACTGTCTTAGAAACCATTAGGTCTTTTTTTGTGAGAACAAATTTGATATAGTCAAATTTTTTGGTCTAACACGAGTTGTATAAAAGTGAGTTGTATATTGCCATTTTTTTTTAATGTTGATTGACTTAATTTCTTGTAAGGATCATTTCATTGTATCGGAAGAAAATTCGATCATTTCATTGTATCGGAAGAAAATTCTACAATTCACACTGCAACACACGCGTGACCAAACAAATTCACTATACCAAATTTCTTTCACAAAAAAGGCCTAATGGTTTCTAAGACAGTTTCCCAGAATTAATTGGGCCGAATATTAGGCTATTCGGCCGCGCTCCAGGCCGAATATTCGGTATCCGGCCTGAAGGCGAAATACTATTCGTATTATTTCTTTATTATTATTATTTAAAAATTGAAATTTCTTTTGCGATTAGGTACTGGGCGGCCATTCATATTCGGCTAGGGAAGGGGAGACCGGGGCTGGTAGTTCCCAGAGTAAGTTGTTCTTTCAGCAATAACTTTGCAAGGAAAATATGTAGCAATACATGTGACGCGCGTCGTTAAAGCGTCAGGCGATGCGTCTTTTCGGCAGCCATTTCAGTTACTCCAGAGACGACGTGTGGCTATGTGCGTGGAGCTGTCAAAATATCACGTAAGTAAATTTTTTCTTGTTTATATTTTTGGTCTGTCTTTGTTTATTATGGGCCGATTCATACGTAACTTTTCTAAATTGTAGTGATATTAGTAACGAATCTTATTGTTTAAGTATTTTTTGATAGATTCTATTACTTTGCCGGTATGTCAGTCTTCGTATATAAACGTAATTTGGGTCTATAAGTTCCTCCCTCGAGGGGCCGGTTGTTCCTAGGAACAACTTCCCCCAATTGACCTGCAATCATACTTAAAATTTTTATGACCATTTTTCTTTGTTTTAAGGATGTTTAGACTAGATGATAGAGTCACTTATGTGTGTCTCAACTGTGATTCAGATGAAGAAATGAGAGATGAATAATATCACTGATGAATAAGAATGTAGTTTTTTTTAAGTTAGTTGTGCATAATATAAACATTACATAAATACAATTATAAAATAGGTGGTTTTATTTAAAAAAATCTTTGTTATTCTGTCACAATCTAGGCGGAACAATTTGCCTCAAAGGCGGAACAACGCGCCCCAAAGCGGGGCTGAATGTTCCGCTCCGAAATTTGTCAAAAATTAGCCTCTATAAAAAAGACTATCGAGATATTAGTAGAAGTGACTATACTATTACAAAAAGCGATAAACATTTGTTCAACATTTCCACATGTTGAAAATCAAATCCTTCATTTTCAGTATAAAACTGCAAGTTATTTGAAAATCCGAACGTTCAACCCCGCTCTCCTCTACTTGTGCTCAATAAATAGCAAGTTTAAACGTCCTAATCAAATACATAGCTTAAATCCTATTTTATCTATGACATATTTTCTAAACAGAGCAACATATCGTCCAATCTACCTCCTTGGCCCACAAATGTACTATTAGGTACTATAGACGTAAGTAGGTACCTATAGATCTATAGACGTAAAACAAGGCACGTCTCGGTGCTGTTGCGATGTTATTGAGATCGCAGTCGCACGGAGGCTTACCTTGTCTTTGACATTTATTATTTCCGTCCATGGAAGCAATTTCTTATTCTTTCAACATTTTATTTCTCTTCTTGTTTTATTTTGCGCTGCAGGAAAGTTACTGTTTTTATCATTGAAATTTTATGCTGGTTCATTCAACGAATACAATTTATTTCCAATTGAGTTTTCAACTACCATAGAATCATATATATATTAAAAGCAACGATTGCTTATTGTATATTATATTCAGTACTCACTCTTCAATTTTCTCGCCAGTGATTGTAGCTGGCATGACCATGACTTCGCCGCGAAAATTAATAGAAATATCCACTTTCAAAAAACCGACAGGTCCCACAGGAGGGTTGCGATTTAAATTTAATTGTACCCATTTGTGATAAACTTGGTGATCTGATCATAAAAAATACGAATAAAACCACATTAGTTTTAAGCTGCTTGTGTACTGTTTTTGTTCTTGTATGTGAACAATAAAGTATATCTGCCTAACTATCTAAAATATAATAATACTACAATAAAGATTTAGAACCTCTGAGTTTTAGTCTACCGAGGGACGTTGTCTCTCTATATGTGTTCTACCGGAATGGCTCAGAGGAGCTTGTGCCACAATCGCGTTTTCACCATCCAATGTCTCGCCAAAGGAGAAAAACCGTCCTCGAATCCTAACACAAGAACACGCGCGCATCACGTTTCTTTCTTCCTCGAACTTATATCATGTGGGATGTTCTCCCTCCTGCAGCTTGATTTTGATAACTCCTCTTCCGATCGGAAACTGCGTTTTTTCCGTGTCGAGGCGTATAATATTAAGGGTGGGCTACCCGATCGGATCAATTCCGATTTCAATTAAAATCAGGGAAGTGTGTTTCAATTGGGCTATGACATGCGAGTTCTTGAAACAGCGAGTAAACAGAGCTCTCTAAAGCTTGGCAATGAATAAGCAGTTTCTTTGATATTGCAAATATCCATGTAAAACAATAATTACCTCCCACCAAGTGGTTCGTCGGCTTGTTTGCGTCCAACTTTGAGTTAAAATTTAGTATTTGGCAAGAAAGCGCCTGCACAATCTTTTACAGCAATTGTTCCAAATGTGATCATTGCATACTTACAATACACAGGCATTTTGTCTTTTATAATTCTCGGCAAATTCGATTTAAATATTTATGAATAAGAATAAAGAGTTACTTACGGGGTTGCATCCATATAGCACCTAAATCTATGTTCGTTTCTCCTATTAGCTTTGGTGGGGCATAGCAGCGTGGTTCCATTACAGCTAACCAAAGACTTAAGCGTCGGATTTCACGAATGCTGAGGTACAATTCGAATACAAAGTACTGCAAAAACATCGGACGTTACATATCTGTTAAATCAACTTGTTAATTTCAATCTATAATCTGAACCTTACCTCTCTGTAACACGGTTCCTCCATATTTTTCTTTATAGTTGACCTATGTTTTTTCTTTCCCAACATTATAATGACATAAGAGCTCTTAGAATGAGAGTTCGACCAGGCAAGTTTACGAGCTTCCAAGACATTCACTGACACCTACAAGTGCACAAGTGCGAATAATAGGTAAATATCTGATGCCACTAAATTGTTTTAATTTCTATTTTATGATATCAAATGACGTGACGAGTAAAGCCCGGCGCCCAATGATGGGACGGGACGGCGAGTTACTTTTAGGTAACGAATAGTAATATACCTTACAATTATGACATTACAGTTGCAATTTCAATAATAATGATCGTAGCTGCAAAATAAAGCTGCTGTATCGTGCGTGCAGGTCACTGTGACGGCGTAGGCAGAGCCTGCTGACACACTATCAGTATACGGTCCACGATGGAGTCTCGCAGGACACATTGCAGGATTACTGGATAGCTTGCTCGCTGCGACTACATTCATAATCGTGCATTACGCGGTGGACGGCAAGGCGAACTGCAATGCAGGATAATGAATGCCCCCTTTTGGGGATGTCGAGCCGGCAGCTATCGGAATGCTTCGGTAGCCTTCGGGACGATTCGGAAGGCCGAGAGCGATTATGCGGGCATACATAGAGAGGGAGGCACGCACAGTAAGACAGATCTAATGAGAGACCAGGCACGAGCACGACGTCTCGACGGAATGCTACGGAATGCCTAACAAAAAAAGGATGCCGCATCGTACCGCGATATAATTATGTCATAGTTCACTTGCATGTAGGGATGCTGAAGGATCCCCTGCCGAGCCTTCCCGTTACTGGGCGCCGAGCATACGAGCCTTTGCACACGGCGTATTTTATATGCGCCGTAAACGCGCGTCGTTGCAGGCGCAGGCGCGCTCTAGTGAATAGATTCAAACGCACGCTAACATCGCGTTGCAAGCAAGAATCTTATATACTCCACTGGAGTTTACACTTAGAATTTCATGTAACTGTTTCATTTAAACAAACCAACTGAAATTACTAAATAATACTAAAATTAAAACTATCTCTTATCAAAATGAGCGATATATACAAAGCGCGTATAAAATTCGCCATGCGACTGATAATAAGCCTATCTATCTATAACGAAGCCACTCTGAGCTATGGCAAAAATCTGAGGCACCTGTCCATGTACCTGTAGTTTAACCAGGAACTCCTTAAAACAGGAATACAGTAATGCTCATATTACTGCTTAGTGGCAGAAATATAGTATGTCTGTGTTTCTCTAGATAAACTCTCTCACCTGCTTTTTAACTGACTTCAAAAAAAAAGCAGGTTTTCAATTCGACTGTTTTTTTATGTATGTTACGCGATAACACCGCCATTTGTGAACCGATTTTGAGGATTCTTTTTTTGTTGGAAAGAGGGTGCCTCACGAGTGATCCCATTTATATTTGAAGACAATATTCCATCTCTAAGGGTGTTAATTGTAAACTAGGGGATAAATGACTTTTGAGGTCGGTTTTATCAGTACTCTGTACTGAGAGTAGCTTATTCAGATTAGTATATACAATTTAAGTATACATATATATAATAAATAGTATATAAGTGATGATAAACTACGAAACAAGTTACATATGAATTAAATAAACGTGTCCGTGCGCATGAAAAACGACACAGCGCAATCTTGAGATACCAGGCATACATAAAACATGTGAACATTGAATGGACGCGCGGAGTCGCGAACAGCGCACCATTGCATTGTTCAGCAAAAAGACGGCCAATAAGGGCCGCTATAAATTATTTATAAGAGAGACTGAAACCACGCTTCCGGATCGGCTTGGACTTGTTTTTGTCTTGTTGTTTGACGTGTTGGCTGTTTGAGTTGTGTTCGGTATACAGAGAGTAAAAAGTAGGTACGACGCAGAAATATTATATATTTATAGAAATATTTATTGATACATCCATAAATTATTATTTATTTATTATTTTAAGCATTATTTTATCATGTCGGTGACTTTTTTGTAAATGTAAATGAACAAAAATAATGTGACAAAGTTTTTTATCAGTTACTCTATTTGTTTATCAGTGCGTTTGTGCACCCTTATCTCCACAATAGCTGAACATATTTGGATGTAGTTTCAATGACGTGTTGAAATAACCTTGAGCTAACATTTACTGATTATCTTACAAAGGATTTAGTGAGATTTAGTTAAATGAAAATGGTAACAGACAGACAATGATTTTATTTATTCGTTTTTAGAAAAAATTAGAGTGGCTTGGTACGCGAAGAAAGCCTGTCTGAGTCGGTGCAATAGATGAGGACCAGTCCCCCGTATCTTCTACTTAAGTTTTGTTTGTAGTGCTAGCTGTGTTCTATCAATTTTTCGTAAAACGGGAAGGACACTATTGCCCTAGATCAGCCCGTTAACACAGACTACTGGATGAAGACCATCTCCCGTTCCTTTCTACATAAGTTTTGACTATAGTCTCGGTAGGGAACCGACCATTAGAGCCCAGTTAGTTACACGAGGTGAAAGATTTCGAGCGACCGCCACGCAGTGACCGCGAGTTACCACGCCTTCATGTACATTAATGGCGCATTTGAATTCTATTTACTAGGCAACAACATTTAAATTACTCTGAATAATACAATAGCGCGGCCGCCGCCCGGCCACTGCGTAGACCAAATTCAAGCCCGACTCGCCCGCATGCCCGAGACGCTCATTTAATCTAAAACGTAAATGCTAATTAAATAGAGCGTATTTTGCCATGACAGTTAGACACACCTGGTCGCTGCACGGCGGCGACGCGGACTCCGCGCGGCGGCCGCGCGTGGCGAATAAATGCGCCCTTAGGGTATACGAGCAGGGCACACATGCAAGCACAGGGACCTTCTAAATTCAGGACCTGATCCCGGATCAACCAGTGTACAGGGTTGTCACAGACCGTTGTCACTAACTTCATTCGGTTCTCAAGACGCTAGTGCCTCGGGTGAGCCCTATATCCCTATTTTCCAGATAGGTACTTGAGCTATAGGCACGCTCACTTCCCGTCGTGCATTGCACAACTAATGCTTGCCACCGCTAAGCCTTTGACTCTAAAGTCTCCTACCAAATCTCGTCGTTGGTTCCAGAAGAAGCGACGCCTTGGAAGCGAACCTGCATGAACTTCAAGTAATCGACAAGATCAAAGAGATTGGCCTTATATCATTTAGGAATCTAAACCACATACTGCATCTTTGAGCCGGCGGAGTAAGTTTTAAGAACTCTGCCCGTTTCGTCGTGGGTGAAAGGTGTTACCTGAAAATATTGCTGTAAGGTTTCTGGGTTGTACTCGTTTTCTAATCTATAGAAGGATCTAGACTTCAAATGGCGACTCCTCTGTCGAGTGGTCCGCATCGTGCTAGATATATTGAAACGACGGTGTAAGTTGAACGCTCTCGTTTGGAAATGCAGATTTCGAACCGACGACGAAGATGCATGATAGTTATTCATTTAGCTTAAATCACATTTCTGTCCTTCAGTACGTAATTAACGCTGTAAATATATTATGAACTACAAGGTTTTGTTGAAAAATGTATTAGAAAATTAAGAATTCAAGACAAAATGTCAAAATTCCAGTAACGCAGAGGTAATGTCAAAGTTGTTCTATTGTCTTTGAAATTCTTGAGATTTTTGTGTTTGCACCTTTTCCATCTTAGATTTTTTTTTTAATTTATTAAGGCTTTGGCAAAGCCATCAGCCTAAGCATGAAGTTTAATTGTGTTTCTGTAAATATGGCCGCCACAAAGAGGATAGGCAATTTGAGGCGGCGTGCTGTGATTGACTCGGGACTCCTTAAAACGGGCCGATACGGGTATTTTAGTTCGAGATTCGTATAATTTCGCGATTTAATCTTCCATTAAGGCACAGTAGCACTATCCTATTCCACTTTAAACTAGATTCACAAAATAATTGAAAGTCAAAATAAAAACGACACTTTTCCCTCCAAAAGGTCCAGAACAAATCCTTTTCCATCTTAGAGGATGGACAAAAAAAGTTTTCCATCTTCTAAGGTTTGCACACACTCCATATTTTTCATTCCCTTAGGTTCCGTAAATAAGTTTTCCCCGTTTTGCAGTGGCATAATCGCAAACTGCCAGAAACAGAAAAATAAGTTAGTCAACGAGTGTAATAATGATGGTGGTGGTGCAGTGTCTGCCTGGCCTATGGACATTCGTATTGTACTAAAACCATACTAAAACTAAAAATAATTAAAGTCTGTGGTTTGTTTGTACCACGGGCTGCTCTCGTATTTATGCGCATATGCATTACATAGCGTACATCGCTTCACTTTTTTACCGACTTCGTAAAAGGAGGAGGTTCTCCTGTGACTTTAGAAGTAAAACTTTGAAAAATTAAGTCGCTACGACGTAATATAAAATAAATTTACCTGATGCAGATATGCGAAGACTTTGACAATATACAAATGTAATATTCAATAAATTTACAACAATTTAAATAAAAATAAATTCATTAAGTTACTATGTAAGGATATAATAATACTTTTACATTTAATGCATAGTAAAATTCCAAAAATGTTAGTAGAAGAATGTTTGCGTTATTATTCTAAGGTTAGATGTAAGAACATACGATAAACTTAACAAACGAAAGAGGTGCCATCTGGACACGGCCATGACAGTTGGATACAGCGGACATGATAGACATGACGAACATGACCGACCTGACGTAAATTTCTGACATGACAAATATGACGAACGTGAAGAACAGACGTACATGACGAGCTGGATAATGCGACGTGACTGATATAATTAACATTTTTGACATGACGAATATGACGGTCATGACAGACTTACTTTACTTTAATTAATCTATTGTGTCCCGCTGCTGGTTAAAGGTTTTCCCCAAAGTCCTGTCTTTTTTGTGATTTCCTACCAATCCTTCTAAAACCCATATAATCGTCCCGCTAACGCCTTCTCGGCTGTCACTGCTGTCACCGTTGGCGCCCAAGGAGTGACGACGTTCGCTTCTCGGTTTGCATCCGGCGTGTGGTCCGTCCAATTCCGTTTTAGCCTGGCTATATGGCTAACAATACGTATATTTCTGACAGCACGAACATGACTGACATGACGTACAGTACTGACATGACATGACAACAAGACCACGAGACTTGATTACATCAATTTTATATAACTATATCCCATACTTCACAAAGTATAACATTTTCCTGACTTTACATTGACTGCTTCCGTGGCCGGACGGTTACCATGCCGAGTCTGCCGAGCACAGGTTCCGAGTTAGATTCCCGGGCCGTGAGAAATATTTGAATGGCCTACATTTATTTCTTTCGTGAGTTTGAGTGTAATTTGTGGTTGTCTATGTGCATGTCCATGGCACCTGGGATACAGGGTTTCCCTAGTGTGGGACTATAAAAAAAAGAAAAAACATCACAATATCGCTGCATGATCATGAACAGCTCACCTATTCAATGTAAATAGTATCGAGTTTTTCTTTTACTATTCATACTCGTAGACAGGGCACAGCTTTTTTTAACTTCTTGTTATCGATGGCATGCAATATGTTACTGCGGCCCAGAACTTAGCCACGTTGACCGCGTCGTTAACCAATAAAACCTCAAGCGTGGAGGTGTTTACACAAACGAAACCCAAACAAATCCGCTTCCGAGACTATCAGAACGTGGAGTAAAGTTAAACTGCACTGTTTCACATCAAAGATTACACCTCGCCTGAACTTAAGGGTCGTTAACCCGTTAACAAGGGTGTAGTGTGTGCTTAACGAACTGCCGTATCCGAACTGCCGAAACACAGTATTTGCGGGATATCAGCGTACTATTGTATGTCTACTGCCGGAACACAAACAACTGCTTCCAACGTCTCGAAAGTTCCTAGAGACTAGGTACATTAAAAGTGCTCTCACCTAGAGGTGCCGGTGATGATTTTATACCGATTTATCGGATATCGAAGTTATAACACGTAAAAGAACTAATATTAATTGCTATTTCGGTCTAGCACCTACTCTAGCAAACCATAAAGTTTAAAAAAAAAATAAACAACTACAAAAATACGTCACGATAATCGTGTGTGTTATTGTTTGCGCTGGTGATTTCGGTGTTTATTTATTGAAATCATACCGTAAGTAGCGTTTGTTAAGTTTACTCTGAATATAAATGTTTATAAACTATACTTTAAGGAGTAATTTCATGGTAAACGTTAGAACCACTCAAATGGAATATTATCATATTTATCCAAGTACACCAAAAATGTCATTAGTGCTTTTTAAGTTCAGGATGTGCGGTGTATTACTGCATTTTTTTGTTGGCAGTACGGAGGATATTTATTTAGCAATGCAGAATAATAATTTTTATTTATAAAAACTTGTATTTAAACTGAATGCTTTTCTAATTTGCGAAACCAAATAGCCGCCATTTTGCGGTAGGAGGAGCGCATCGAGTGAGCGGGTATGACATGAAAGTTAAAAAAATGAAACGAATTATATTGGTATGTGTGACGTTTTGTAACAGAGTCTATACAACCTCAAATGGCTTTGATTGATTCCGCATAACAGTGAAAATGTTGAAGCAATCACTTTGAAAAGAATATATAGTATAATTGAGGACATACCTACACTGATTAGTATACGGCGTGAAACCACGACTCCTAAAAATGGAAGAAAAAACACAAACTTCTTTCGAAATTTCACAAGAAAACCGCTGCATTCAATAGGTACTTTACATAAGTATACCAATGTTTTTTTTATATAGCAACTGAACTAAATAGAACATGTGTATGTATACGGTATATATTTTTTCAAATTGATTTAGTTTTGTTTGTAAAATAGATTAGAGAGATAACAGGAAAATAGGAAATAGATTAGAAATCTTATTACTTTATTTTATTTTAATCTTTATTTTACTCTTTCAAATTTTATTGTAGTTTATTATCATTAGTGTTGTACTATTTCACACTGTATATGTAAAATGGGATTTTTGCCTGAAAACATTGACTTACAAATAAATGGACGACGGGTCTAATACAAAAACCTCGAAAAAAATGTCCCAAGTTAACCTATTTAAACTTAGTGACATGTAAAGGAATATGAAAAGGCTAAAACGTTGAATTTAAATTGTAATGTCATCGCAGTACTGTCTAATTTTGCTTGCTTCGCTGTCAGTCGAACAAACGAAGACTAAAGCGTATACGATTTTAACGCCCTATAAGTTCGGACACTTTTTAGCGCGGACCCGACGTCCATATAATTGTAAGTCAATGCCTGAAAATAAACAATTATACTTATGCAGTGTCCGAATTTTTAAATGACAAACCCCTAAGTTCATTGTCTAATTTTTGATCATTTGTGTAATATGACGTTATTCAAATTGTTATTTTTATAAAGAAATGGATATTCATCATTGGAGCTGTGTCGTCAGTACCACCGAAATGAGTTGATTTCTGTACAACACCAGTCGTCACATTAGTAGCACCGCCCCGGCTGGCACTAATAATTTACTGCGTCCAGCGATACCGACAACGTTATTAATACGTGTTACGGCTTAATTACTCCACAAACTCTGCGGATATTGTGCAGTATATAGGGATGAAGGTAAAAGCTACCTTGAGTGTCGAACAGTTGCGGTACCGCTACAATGTGAATTTTAATTCATTTGAGTGTGCCAACTAAACATCTGTCGACCTTTATGAAGGAGGAGTTTGGGCCAAAGGGTGTCATGTACAGACGTTTCCGTGGGTAGCCTCGGACATCCACATTGTGTCACACGTTGCAGACAATACTTGTTTTGTTATGTTGTTATGTGTATTAATCTATACGGTATGTATTTAAGAGGTTTTGTCACCTGAATATAAATAAATTAAAAATGAATTGTTTTGACATCTAGTTACATTTTTTGAAAGATGTCAAGTGAAGCCCCGAACAAGTTTTTTGTGCCTGAAGGTAAGCGACACCCCTACCCCTTTTATTAGACAATTATTATATGTAGTTATACATTATATAATCTCAGTACAGAGTACTACGAAAACCGATCTCAAAACTCATTCATCCCCTGGTTTAGCCACCGTAAGAGGTGGAACATTATTTATTGAGTTAAGCGGATACCAACAAAAAGAATCATCAAAATTTGTTCACAAATATTATTTTATTTTATTTATTTTTTACTTTATTTATTAACCTCCTCCTTTTTAAAATCGGATAATAAATAAAGGAATTGTGAATTAAGAACTAGTTTACAAACTAATATTGTTTGACATTACTTTTCATTGTATTTTTGTTTAACGTCAGCTTGTATCCGTTGTTGAATTTGTGTAATTAGCAATTTTATTTATTATTTTTTTTATTTATTTATTTATTTATTTACTTATATACATTTTTACATTCGTTTATACGA